TAAACAATACGTAAAAGAGTAAAATTGCAAAATTTGCAATCCTCACCATATTCTATTATTAACGGGTTAACTCTGAGAATCAATTTCTCATTCACCCTCTACCATTTTTGGCGTAATATTTGTCAAAACATTTATCTCATTTAAGAGGAAACACGTCCATTAATTAACGGTTAAAACCGTTAGTGGACCTAATGACAAATATACCCAAGTTGGTCCATTTAATGCCTATTAAAAATGCCAAAAATTCCAACAACCCCCCACATGAATGAAAAATTAATTTGGGGTCGACAACATCCCACGGTTGAAAACCTGCAAAGAACATGTAAGTGTCTCCACTTTTGAACATGTCTCTTGTAAAGTATACCTTCTTTACTGGCTGTTCAGTAGAACGCGATGTCTTTGAACTATACTGCCGCTTGTGTAAACGATAGTATACCATACACAGATTCCAACCAAATGTCGTTCTGTTCTCATGGTTGTGCCCATGTTGGTCGTGGGACACGCGCTTGGTTCTGCGAGAGTGTTTAGAGGATTAAGCCCAAGATCCTCCGTTTGAAGCGACCACACTTCACTCTTACATAGGTGATTTTTTAAGAGTATCCCGATTACTCCCCTTAGACCACCGTGTCTATTGGTTAAGAATCATTAAAGCATATTTATATGCTAACCTCATCATTTTCGGGAGTCACTGTCTTCAGCAGGAACAGAAGGGACTGACCGAAGGTTCTGGTACCGCCCCCACAGTGACCTCGCTTTATCCTACAAGTAGGTTGTCCCATTGAACCTGGGTACCAGCCAGGTTGGGTTTTCCTTCATAGGACTGTCCTAGCACAAGGGCTTCAAACCCATTCCTGCCACCAACTTCTCATGTAACTCATTTGTTAACCCTTTGGTTAGCGGATCCGCCAGATTATCTTTTGACTTCACATAATCAATCGTGATAATCCCAGTTGTGAGAAGTTGTCTAATGGTTTTGTGTCTACGAAGAATATGTCTAGACTTACCGTTATACATATTACTCTTTGCACGTCCTATTGCTGATTGACAATCACAATAGATGCAAACTGGTGGGACCGGTTTATCCCATCTTGGAATGTCCTCTAGGAAGTGGTGTAGCCATTCAGCTTCCTCACCACATTTGTCTAAAGCTATAAACTCAGACTCCATGGTGGACCTAGAAATCACTGTTTGCTTTGAGGATTTCCAAGATATTGCTGCACCCGCTAGCGTAAAGACATATCCACTTGTGGACTTCAAGTCTTTACTATCAGATATCCAATTCGCATCCGAGTATCCTTCCAGTACTGGTGGATATCTCGAGTAGCATAAACCATAGTCACGTGTATACCGCAGGTATCTCATCACACGTATAATAGCCTTCCAGTGCTCATCACTCGGATGGCTGGTGTATTTACTCAGCTTACTTATGGCACAAGCTACATCTGGTCGAGTGCAACTCATTAGATATATCAAACTTCCAATAACTCTTGCATACTCAATTTGAGAGTTACTGGAACCTCGGTTTTTAGCTAGGTATGCGTTGACGTCCAACGGCGTCTTTGCTACTCTAACGTCATCCTTGTTGAACTTGTCAAGGATTTTATCAATATAATGGGGTTGGCTCAGTGCTAGACCCCCAGGTCTTCTCACAATTTTAATTCCAAGAATTACTTCAGCCAGACCCATATCTTTCATGTCAAATCGCGAGTTTAACATGTATTTGGTAGACTTGAACATCTTATCATCACTACCAACTATGAGTATGTCGTCTACATTTAGAAACAACATGACATACCCTTGGGATGTGTTTTTTAGATAAACACACTTGTCTGATTCATTAATTTTGAACTCAAAGTTCATCATTACCTCGTCAAACTTCTCATGCCATACTTTTGGCGCCTGTTTAAGACCATATAATGACTTAACAAGTTTACATACTTTCCTTTCTTGACCGGGAACTATAAACCCTTCTGGTTGTTCCATGTAGATCTCTTCCTCTAGATCTCCATTAAGGAAAGCTGTTTTCACATCCATTTTGTGTACTTCTAAGTTTCGCAACGAAGATATTGCAAGTATCATCCTAATGGAATTAATCCTTGACACAGGGGAATATGTATCAAAATAATCAAAGCCCTCACGTTGATTATAACCCTTAATTACAAGTCTGGCTTTGTACTTATCAATGGAACCATCTGGTTTCATTTTCCTCCGAAAGATCCACTTAGAACCTAACGGTTGTGCATCCAGGAGGTGGATTCACTGGTGGTCCCAAAGTGGTGAAATACAAAGTCTAGAGGGGGGGGGTGAATAGACTTTGTTACAGATTTAAAATCTTTTTCTTTTCTTTTGAAAACGTGAAAATGAGTGTTAATCTAGAGTCCTTGTGAACTTTAGATTGTGTGCGGAATTTGGTGGGTAGAGTGAGCAGTAATCAATATGGATGGGTTAGTTTTCACAGTTAATATAATTGCAAGTAAGAATAAAGATAAAAGAGAGAGACACGCAAACTTTAACGAGGTTCGAAGGTGGGGTAATCCTTCTACGTCCTCAAAATCCACTATGTAGTTGGTTGTTGAATAATGAACCAACAATTACACTTTTGTGAATTTCTGCACGGTATATCTTCACAAGACAAGTGTTGCTACGGCACTCGTGGTGGCTTTGTTGTTCCTTCGAAGGTCAAGCTTCTTCAACAACTCCAAGATCCGAACAATAGGACTTGCAAGATCAACTTGTAAGAGAGTTGACCTACCCCCTTTTAATCAATAAGTTTGATCAAAAGTAATATCCTTCAACGTGGTGTGGTGCTTGAGGCAAGGAAACCTTCAAGTCTTTACACTATAGCTCTTTGGAAGGGAGAAGTTTGCTTCTGGATAAGGAGTTTAGAAATCTCTCTTTATCAAGCTTTTTGGGCTAACTATGAATGAGATAGCTTTGTTGTTAGAGATTGCTTTGTTGTGTTGTTGTATCTCATTATTTTCTCCAGTCTTCCAAGGATGCTATTTATAGCTGGATTGGATAATCTATTCGTTGAATCATAATAGACTATCCGTTGCATTTGCTGGCTTCAATTTTGAATGAAGATTGTGATTTGAAGATTCCTCATTGGAATGGGTGTTTGGACATACCCATTTGTTAAAGGGGAGATTCCTTTTTCCATAGAGTTCGTCTTCTAGCTGCTGTTCAAGTATTCTAGACTGTAGAACTTTACTCTGTTTGTCTTCTAGTGCTTGTTTAGGAATTCTGGACAGGTTCTTTGATTCTTAGAGGTTCAGACTTTGTCTTCGAGTCATTTGTTCTTGAATCAGCATAATTACCTTCAATCTAGCCGTTGAAAATCAAGAGATTGATTTTTCCTTACCAACGGGTAGAATTTCTTCATTCAAGACTTAGATAATCTTCTAAGTCTTTTCTTACTTGTCCGCCTTTTGAGAATTTCGGTCTTCGTTGAGGCATCCGGTTCTTAGCTGACAAATTCGGAGGAGTCATTCTCAGACTTCCGGGTGAGAAAGGGATCCGTGCTAGTCTTCCGATTTGGGTGACTTAGCCTTCAGCGGGTTGTAGCGAGACATCCGGTTCTTATGTAGTCTTCCGGATCAGAGGATTTTCATCTGCTTGAGAAATCCTTACTTGTCTCTAGCATTTCCGATCAAGATATCCAATTTCCATATCACTGAATTTGATTAAGTCTTCAGGCATCAAAACGCTTAAAGAAATATCATAACCTTATTGGAAATCTCAAGAACTTGGTTTTAACAATATTTCTAAAAAGAAAAATTACATTGAATATTAGGGGATACCTAAAGTCCCTATTACATTCTAAATACATAATCATCAAAATCTATGATATTTTTCCCAACAATTTCCCCCTTTTTGATGATGACAAACAAGTGTTTAAGAGTTCCGGTCGCTGTACTGAGAACTAATTTTGTAACTTTCTTTTAGTTTCTCATAATATACAGCTTGTTAACAAAAACTCTTAAACAAATACAATTCAAATTACAATAATTCCAAAACCAAGTCTTGTCTTGAGATTTTGTGATCTCTTCCGCCATTGACCGTTTTCAGCTTCAGCAGATTCTGCTTGGCAGAGCGGTTGGCGTTGCGTTTGATAGATCTTTAATATCCAAAGTGGATATTTAAGATCTTGGAAGCAACACATATCTCAAAATAAGAAGAAAGATAGAGAGAGTGTTGTTCCAGAGAAGGTGTATGGTCTAATACTGAAAAATACGAGATTTCCACCATAGACCTTCTCTACTGCCGAGATTCTCACCATAGACCTTGAAAGTCTTTTCTTCTCAATAGGCTTCTTCCATTGCCGTCTATGAGGGTGAGAAAGAAAAATTTCTCCATTGAGGATATTTTTCTTGGTGTGTTTCTTAGACAGTGAGTTTGAGGACTTTTCATATTGAGAGAGTTGTTTGTGATGGAAATGGATTAAGATATCTTGATTTAAATAGGAGAAGAGAGGGTTCACGGGTTTCATTAATTTGGTAGGTGGAACGTTGAGGGTAATAGAGTTTCAACTTCCAAGAAGTTGAAAAGTGGAAGGAATCTTTTACCAATTACCAATGAGTTGAAACTGTTCCAATTTGAAAATCAGTTTTGTTTTGTTTGAGAATCATAACTGTTTTAGTTTGGCTAAGCCCAAAAGAGTGGCCCAAAAAGAACAGAAAGCTACGTACTAAAGGAAAATTATTCCTATTGGGTTCTCAAGGCCCAAAATAAAACTATCATTTTTCATTCCCTATAGTTCTAATTTCTACTTAGGACGAGGTAGCACCAAAACAAATATGAATATTATTTTAAAAGAAAAGTGGTACTATTTTTCCAAAGTCCTGTACATTTTAAACATCCTAGGGACCAGTACTTTTAGAGCTTGTTGGAAATGAATTAAGGACTGAAGCTTAGTTTAAGAAGGCAGATTTTGTAAAGTACCTGAATCGGAGATTTCCAATTTTAGTACCAAAACTGAGATATCCGTCTTCCATTGCTTAGAGCTTATCAATAATTCATTGCCAAAAACAATTGTTAGCCAAACATTAGTTAAGTTCCCCCTGAAATACATTCCCCCTGAATGTATGCGCTTCAAAAAAATACTCAGAATCATACTTGAGATAAGCATAACCAAGCATAATAGCATAATTAAGAAAATTGTTGAAGCAATATTGCAATGTTTAAACCAATCAAGCAATGTTTAAACAAGAAGGTGTTTGCATCAAAACACATTAGTGTTCACATACTTTCCCCCTGTTTTGATGAAAAGAACCTTTGGTTTTTCTTGCGCTTTGAAGATCCGGCAACCTCACTGATGCCCTTCATGTTCCCACACAGTTCTTTGATGCGCCTTAAATTTTCACGTCTTTCTTCTGATTGAGCATCATTTGAGAAGTGGTCAACAACGGTACCTATAAATTCTGTTCCATCCAGTCCTGAGCTGGATAGAAGCTGTGCTGAGTTTTCCGGATTTCTTTGCTGTGCTTCAAGGATTAGATTTGTCAAGTTCAGATGAGAAGGAATATAAGATACTTCTCCTTCTTTGACTGCAATAGGGAGCTGTGGTATTGGAGATGGACTGTGTTGTTGGAGAATTACTTCCATCTTGCGGTTTCCAGAGTTTGCGCCAATAAGTCTGAACAGCTTGTATGCTTCCTTTTGATTGTCAATGATCACCTTCAAGTAGTCTTTGGTCACTACCTGATTTGCTGAAGCTACTGCTAGGGCTGATCTGATGTCCATTTGGAGAAGGGACATCTGTTTTTGGAGACTAACTGTGACACTCGCTATTTGCTCTTTAACTTTGTTGATCTCTTTTAGTTGAAGTTGACTGTCAGAGGCATATATTTCCATCGTGTTGCTCACAGTTTCACTCAATAGAGAGATAATCTCCAGAGTCTTCTGCACTGATTTGCTTATTTCTTTGAGATCTGCGCTGTGTTTTCCTTCAGATTTCTCTATCAGCTGAGTGTGCCTGACTTCCATTTGCTCTATCTCTTGCCTAAAGGAGGCATGTTGAGATGCTAGGGCTGATTCAATCAGCCCTT